TCATCCTTGATAGTCTACCTCGAATTTCATGTCTTGCATGAAGCTGTCACTCATTATATTTCTAGGTGACTTAAATAAGAATGCAAAAAAATCAAAGCAATAATAGTGGTTTATTTATTTAAAATTTAAATAAGTGGGAGGGCATGACAGCACACACCTGTAATCCCAGCACTTGGGAGGCTGAGGCAGGAGATTCCAGGCCAGCCTGGGCTACACAGTGACTCCAAGGCCAGCCCCAACTACATAGCGAGACCCTTTCTCAAAAAACATAAATAAATAAATAAATAAATAAATAAATATTTTTTAAAGTGTGGTCCAGTGGAAAGATCCCTGTCTTGGACTTCCATGACCCTGGATTTGTATGCCTCTTCTGCCGCTTACCAGCTGTGTGGCCTCGTAAGGTCCCTCTCTGAGTTTCAGCTTCTTGAATGTAAAACTAAATCAATTATGTTTATTTTGCAGCATGAATTAGTGAGGTCATATTGAAGAACCTAATGTAGTTTCTATCAGAACAGGAAGTGCTGGAAGAGCAAGTTAGAAGCTATTACCCTTAGTAATAATCAACATTTTCATCTTGTTGGACAGTTTTCAAAGCTCTTTTGCACATTTTCACCACAAAATAGTTCCTACAAAAGGTCTCTGAGGTAGGCAACATTATCCCCACTTTGCAGATAGAATTCTAAAATATTCTAACAAAAGCTCACAATGGCTAAGTGACCTACTGAACAACAAGAGTGTATTGTCCATTGATCATTTGCATGAGAATCTCTTAGAGCTCTCTACAATGACACAGATGGGAGCATAAATTTGTACTCTTTTAATAGCAGGTCTGTCAAAATTCCTAATTTGGCCTGAGGATGTTGCTCAGTAATAAAGAACTTGCTTAGCATGCATGAGGTTCTGGGCTTAACCTCAAGCACCACAAATACATACATACATACATATAAAGTTGACTGAGCAATTAATTTTTTAAAATTCTTACAGATATACTTGCTCATGTACAAAATGATGTAGGTATATGATCGTTTATCACATCATTGTTTATAGCAGCAAAAGACTAAGAACAGGGGCCAGGGATTTAGCTTAGTGGTTTTGCTGCCTGCCTCTCAAGCACAAGGTCCTGAGTTCGATCCCTGGTACCAAAAAAAAAAAAAAAAGACTAGGAACATTTTAAATATCTTATCATCTTAAATAAATCATAGTGTATCCATTTTTTAAAAAGTTGTTAAGTTAAAGAAAAAGCACCAAACCCAAAGAACAAGGTGCAAAAGAATATGCAGTATGTTCCCCTTTAAGTAAAAAAACAGGAAGGAGGGCTAGGGATGTAGCTCAGTGAGAGCATTTGCCTATCATCCACAAGTACACAAGGTTCTGGGTTCAATTTCCAGCACTGGAAACAAATGATGTGTGTGTGTGTGTGTGTGTGTGTGTGTGT